GGGGTTTATGTGGGGAGTGTATGTGGTGGGTGGCATGGGAGCATGGGGGGTTGTATGTTGTGTACATGTGTGTGGTAAGGAGAGTGTGTGATGTAGGAGGTGTAGTTGGGGGGGTGTCTCCCCATCTGGAGATGCATGTTAGGCTGCCCCCTTCAGGGCTGCTGTGGTGCCTGCACAGAGACACTCAGGCCCTCAGTTGCTGGAATCAGCTTGGCATCAGCGCTGGGGTGGGTCAGGTGGCTCCTCTCAGAGATCAGGGTCATCAGACTCGGCAGGTACCGGCCCCGGAGCGGCTCTGCGTACCTCGTGCGTCGGGCCATGTGCGGGACACGGACACCTGGCCTGGCGGCTCTGCCCCGGTGTCGTGTGGCTGGCCAGACATGTGAAGAGGCGTGGTGGGCACGGGCACCCCCCCACCCCGGCTGGCGTCCCCAGCTCAGCCATCCACACTCTGAGGGCCCGTCTCTGCTCCACCCGCAGGGCCTGTGCCAGCAGCGAAACCGAGAGCGAGGCCGGCGACATCATGGATCAGCAGTTCGAAGAGATGAACAACAAGCTCAACTCAGTCACGGACCCGACGGGCTTCCTGCGGATGGTCAGCCGCAACAACCTCTTCAACAGGTGCACGCAGGGCCCGTGCCCATGGTGGGGCGTCCCTCCGGGTGGCACTCCCTCCTGCTGGGGGTCTAACCTGGGCACATGTGCGTCGGTCCCTGTGTGAGGACACCAGCACATGGCCTTGACATGACAGTCCCTGGCTAACTGGGGCGGGCCCAGGCCGGCTGCCTGCTCTTCCACGCGGTCTCCGAGCTGACTTCCTGAAGTCCAGGGCAGCCATTCGCATCTGCTGCAGCCCTTCAAACCTCACCTTCTCAAGGCCAGCAAGGGCTGCTTGGTTTCTCTAAGCTGCGCATCCATAGACCCAAGCTGTTTGCTGGGCCTCGGGCTGTCTCAGGAAATGGGGGTGCTGAGCTTCATCAGGGAATACCACTGTGGCACCTCGGAGGGGAAGGTGCCCTTGTCGTTAGGACACCCTGAACCGCTGGTGCACTCAGAGCCCAGCATGCTGGAGACTGTCCATCTGTCTGTCAGCCTGGCTATTCTTGAGTAGTTACTACTACTCAGGTCACACTTGACAGCCACCCCATCTGTCCCCACCCCTCCAGTGCTTGGCCTGCCCCTTCCACACCAGGGAGCATGGCTGAGCCAAGCCTGGCCTGTCACTGAGCAGACCCTCAGTCAGTGGCTCGCTCCTCACACCACGCAGAGCCCCCGTCCGGAGCCGAGAGGCAGAGAGGGAGCAGCCAGGCAGGGCCTCGGGCCACCAGAGCGGTGCCCGCCCACTCCACTGTCCCCCCAGCTCGGGATCTGTGGAGCTCTCGGCCCTTTTCTTCCTGGATGGTTTGCTGGGTGACCTGGCAAGGAGGCAGCGTTGCCAACTCAAGTCAATTGAGACTGAGTGTCCAAGATTCTCCCCTGAACCCTAAGCTGCGCTTTGGGCTGCCTTTGCTGCTGGCATTTCTACAACCACTATTTATCTTCTTGCTGTGTATGAATGTGTACACGTATTTACGCTCATGTGTGTAGATATGTAATGTACAACCTAACCCTTTGAGACAGCCCATGGGATCCTTGTGCATTTCAGCAAAGGTGTCACCACTGAAGTACCTGCATTCAATAATAAGAGCAGTATCAACAGTGAGGCTCGGCGACAGCACGCCAGGCACCCAGCACTGCAGCACTGTGCTAAGTGACTGATACATATTAACTATTTCTACAGCAGGAAGCTCAGGTAGCCTAGTGGGTAAGGAGCTGTGCTGCTGATGCAGAAGTCTACAGTCCAAATCCACCAACTGCTACATGGGAGGAAGATGGGCAGTCTCCTCCCATGTGATTTGTTGTTGTTGTTGTTGTTGTTGTTATGTGCAATTCAATCACTCGGAACTCATAGTGAACCTATGGACATTCGCTCTGAACTCTGCCCTATGCTGAGCCAATCCCATCGTCTCAACAGACCTCATCCCATTCCTCCAGTCACTGGGTCAATCCATCTCATCTCCTGCGCTGTCCCTCCACCCTCCCAAGCATGACATTCCTCTCCAAGGACTGGTCCCTCCTCGCAACATGTCCTGAGTATGTCAGATGAAGCTTCAGAATCCTTGCCTCCAAGGAGCAGCCTGGTTTCACCCTCTCCAGGATGAGTCTGTTTGTTCTCCTGCCAATCCGTGGTATGTCCAACACTCTTCTCCAGCACCACAGCTCAAAGGCATCAATCCTTCTTCTGTCAGCCTGTTACTGTCCAGCTCTCGGGTGTAGCCCACGTAATTTCCTGTCTCTGAAAACCCACAGGAGGATCATCAGTGACTCGGCTCTGACTCTGTGGGTCACAGCGCACAGCAAGCAGCAGGGGTACTGACACTCTCTTCCTTTTAATGAGAAGGACACGAAGGCTTGGAAAGGTTTTTTCTGTTTCCCTGGCCCACGAGGCTAGCAAGGAGCAGAGCCAGTGTTACGATCCGGGCCTATGTCCTGACCCCTATAGAGCAAGGCTCAGAGCTGCTGTCATCGGGTCGCTATGAGTTGTAGTTGACTCCGAGCTGCTTGATTTCCTTCAGTGACTGGGAGCTCACTACCCTTGGACATCTCAACTGGAAGCTCTAGAGACTCTTTAAAATTCAGTGAATGCATGCTTGGGGGACAAGTTTGGAGCCACAAATGGCTGAAGAGTGCAAGGCTTTTCAGGAAGGACCTTTGCTGCCTTGCTGGCACTACAACTGCCACCCCTATGGTCCTCTTTCCTTCCCTCTATCCCTGAGCACACAATAAGGCTGCCCCACTGACTGCCCAGCTCCACCCCTCTATCGGTGACCCCTGAATGGGCAGCAGGAAGAGCCCGTCAGCCTGCCCAGCACTGGGCTCTTAGATGCATCTCAAGGCGGGGCCTTGGAGCCTCACACATGTGACAGCAGGGAGATCTGTCCACACAGCCGAGTGTCCTGAGGGGATAGAGGCACAGTGCAGGGCCTGGCTCTTCTGGTGAGGTCAGAACTGGTACCCCTTCTCAGCAGTTACCCCAGCACTGGCCCTGAGTCGCTGAGAAGTGGAGAGCTGGGTGGAGCCTGGGGCAGCAAATGCCCAGGAAGAGCAAGGCTTCCTACCAGCCCAGCACCATGGTCATGGTCATGGTCACGGTCACAGTGCTTCCCAGGAGGGAGCGCAAGCCCGTGCCTGGTAATTAAGGAGGCACGCAGGCAAAGAGCACAGGCAGCTTATTGAAATAAGTACTTAAAATGCAGCGTTTGACAGCCCTCTTCTCCCTGGGGAGCCAGTCCTCCGTGTGAGGATGTTCATGGAGGGCACTCACTGAATGGAATCAGAATTCTTTTTTCTTTTTTTAATTGATTTCAAGCATCTCTGGCTACTTGACTATAATGGATTTTGCCAATTAATTTTCCCCCTGGTCCAGGCTTACTCAGACTGCAGACCAGCTCTCAGGCATGGAGAGATGCTTAGAGTCAAGACTCCAGTGGGCAACTGGAACCTCGTAGCCAGGTCTGCAGGGCGAGAAGGAGGGGAAATGGGGTCCAGTGTTTTTACAGCTCCAAGGATCTCAATCTGTCCCCCACCTCCTTCAAGGGCTCTCCTCAGAGCATCATCTCAGTAAGGGGAACTGAGAGAGGCCCTCCACCCCCAGCCTCGTCATCACCACAGCCTTGCACACTGAAGGCATCCTGAGAGGACATGATGGGACTGAGAAGAGGGGCCACACCACGCATGTGCTGCTGCAGGTTCCCTGATACTAACGCCACCAGCAAAGGTGCCCCTTCCTCTTTCCACCAGGCCTCCAGCTCTGACCATGTGTCAGCCTGGACCCAGGCACTGGGGCCTGGAGCAGAGTCCAGCTTGTTTCAGATCAGAGATCTGAGGGAACAGAGCCCTGTGCTGGCCTCAGGCTTCGTGCTGCTTGACTAGGCTGATCCCTACGTACCAGGAGATGCTCTGCCCAGAGCCAGCACCCCAGTGTCGCAGCGAGGGGGGTGCAGGGTGCCAGGGAGTGAGCCCTACCAGCCTGTGGTGAAGATTCAATGGTTTAGTCACCAAGGTCCACCTTGGAAGATGCCTGTGGAAGTTCCTGCTCTGCCCCTCCCTTTGGGTAGTCTTGAAGACAGTACAAGAATCCCTGGTGGTGCAGTGCTTAAGCATTTCTGCTGGCAACTAAAAGGTGAGGTAGAACAGACCCTTGTGGTCTCCTAGGGCATAACGTGTACTGGAGCCTTTACATACTTAGACCCACAACCAGCACGCGTGCGAGCAGCGATCAAGAAGTCAAACACTGTGGAGAAGGACCTCTCTACTGTGTGAAAGAGCAAGAAGTGCAGCCGGCCCAAGTCATGGTGTTTCCAGTGCACGTAAAGATTGTAAACTGAGGAAGGAAGACGAAAAATGATCTGATGCTCTCGAGTCGTGTGGTGATAAGCGATGCCGACTATCCCCTGGACTGCCAGCAGCACAAACGAATCTGGCAGGAGGTGCGGCCAGAGTTTCCTGAGAAGGAAGCGTGGGGAGACTGGGTCTTGCATGCTTTCGGCGTGTTAACAAGAATCCCTGGGAAAGGACATTATGCTTGGAAAAGCGAAGGGTCCATGAGATGCTTTAACAGTGGTACACACAGCCTGTGAAGATGGTGAAGGACCCGGCACTGCTCGTAGGATTCCTTGAGTTGGGGCAGACCCAACACCGACAATACCTTTCCAAGATTAAGTGGTCAGATCTTGTTCCTGTGAAGCTGCCAGGGGGCTTGAGCCACTGACCTTTCAATTAACCATTGCACCACCAGGGGCCCACACAGCCTAGGAAGCCCTATGGGATAGATCTTCTCTGTCACATGGGGTCACACTGTGGCTCAGTGGCTCCCAAACCCAACACCAGCAAAGGATGCGCACAGAGGTGAGCCCATCTGGCCCTGATCTCTCCTGGAGCAGGGTGTGAACAGAGTAGAACCAGAACCTCGTGCCTGCTGGGAGCGGAGGCCGAGAGGAGAGGAGGGTCGGGGCCGTAGAGAGGTAGGGAAGGAGGCGACCAGAGGGGCCTGGGTCTAGGCTGTGTGGTGCTCCAAGACCACGCGCATGCTCACGACACAGGTTCATGCACACCCGCGCAGATCGTGCTTCACCCTAGGCAGACTGTCAGGTCCAGGGGGCAGCCTCGTTCTCCGTCCACCAGGTAGACTGCCTGGTCCAGGGGGCAGCCTCATTCTCCGTCCACCAGGTAGAATGTCAGGTCCAGGGGGCAGCATGGCCTCCGTCCACCAGGTAGACTGTCAGGTCTGGGGCAGGGGCCAGCCTCGTCTGTCCACCGGTGTCCCCTGCCGCTCCTTCATCAGTCAGAACCCGCTCACAGCCGCCCCTCCCGCGGGTTGCAGAGGCAGTAAATCCCACGGGAGGAGACTGCCCAGCTGCCAGCTGTAGAGCAGCTGGCCATGTGCCTGCCTTGGATTAACTCCTTCCCGCCCAGCACCCACGGTCCATGGTGAACACATGCCCGATGGGGCATGAACAGGTGCTGCTACCCAAGACTTTTCTTCCTGGTGCCACCGGAGCACCCCAAAAGGAGTAAGCCCCATGTGAATGCGCCCCAAGGAGAGCTGACTCCCAGGTGTGATCGACGTCGTGCTTCATGAAATGACCCCTTTCTGGCAGTTCCTGTGCTGAGCCAGCCCTGCCCTCGGACCTGGATGACCTGTTAGAATCTGGCAGGCCTGACCTCACAGGGGATGGGAGAGCGGGAAGGAGGTCCCCAGCCAACCTGTGTACAGAGCTCTGGCCCCACAGCATTTCTGGGATGTGCCCCAGGCCAGGTTCCAGTTCCTCTGTGCACACCAGCTGGTCAGCCCAAGGGCAGAGGGAAGGTGGGTCCTCAGGCCGGCTGGCGCCCCTCTCTAATCCACCCCGACCCCCTCTCTGGCCCTGCCCGGGACGTTTCCTGTGGGCACAATCATGGGGTCTCAAATTCTGCACAGGAGACCGGAATCTTCAAGCCAAGATGCAAGATTATTAATGCTGCCTTTGACAGCCAAGATTTGCAGCAAGAGAATCTAGTGAATTGAGGTGGAAGCTCACCCCCAGAAGACCGGATCTCACTCATGGATGAACCCCAGTCCCAGCTGCTGAAAGGGCAGAGCAGAGCATTTGTCTCCATTTTTTAACTTCTGAGTATGAGAAACTACTGTGTAGGCTTCGAGGTGGGAGACGGCATAGCTGCATTCTGTGCTGTGACCTGAACCCCGTCTTTGCACTGGAACTCCCAGGACTGAGTATGGATCACGACCCCCAAACCCGTGGGCCCCTGAGCGACTCCACCCCGGCCACGAACCCAGGCCTCGCTCCAGCCGGGATGTGAATTGAGCAAGCGGTCTCCTGCAGGCCCGCGGAGACGGTGAATCCTAGCCTGCCGCGCCGGGAAGAGATGGCTTCATCCTGGAGGGGAGATTGATGAGCAGCGCGCACAGCCCGGCCTGCTGGTGTTTGTCATCACTGCGCAGACATCAACGACAGCACCGGATGCGCGGCCCGATGCTGATGCCGCCGCCTCGCAGGCCTTCGCGCCTGGTCCCCAGCTCGGCAGTGAGCGCAGCAGCGCCCTCTGGCGCCCGCCGCCGTCTTCCTGCCAGCACACAGGCTGCTGCGGGGAGAAAAGCAGTCGCGCTCGGCCGATTAATGCGCCTCGTCCCGGGAGCGCGCTGATGAAGACGGCACGCTCCGAACGCAGCCCGCCGGTTACCCCGGCGCGGGCACAACCAGGGCGGTGAGCACGGTGAGCTGGCGCCCCCTGCTGGTATCCCCACCTGCCCCACGCGCAGTGGACTCACCTCCTCCTAGCCTGTGGCCGGATCTGGGGGCCCAGTGACCCTATTCAAGTCTCCTACCAGAGTGGACAAGAGGGCCAGGGAGGCACATGCCAGCTGCTTTTCTGGAGTTCTTGTCCACCCCCTCTCCAGCTTTGGGGAGAGTGTGGGGGCTGCAAGACACCCCAGAACGGAAAGCAGTAAGTGGGGTGATGGAGGTTCTGCCACTGAGGGCCAGCCCAACAGCAGGGTAGTTCTTTTAGGGCCCCATGTCTGAACTGGCCACATCCATGGTGCCACCCTGCGTATGCCTTCGAGGACAATGGGAGTCATCTGGAAAACCCACAGGTCACCCCATCAGCTACTGTAGGCCCTGGATGCTTACGCCCTGTGCCCGCTATGCTCCAGCCATGACCTGCACCCCAGCACGTGGGCCCTGGGAGACCCCTTCACAACAGTGGGTGCTACAGGCAAGCATGACACTACTCTCACCCCAGAATGGGCCCCAGTGGACACTCAAGGAGGGAGGCCCTCAGAAAGGCCCCAGGGCGTGGGTGGCTGCAGCAAGATCCTGACACTCAGCCAGGGGGTACAGAGAGCCCCCAGCTTGGATGACCTTCAAGCACTTTATTTTAAATATGTGTTTTCAAAGAAGTGACATATATACAAGAAAAAGGAGTACTAGGCTGGTGCAACAGCTCACCCACTCTGTTATTAACCAAAAAGGTTAGCATGTACTTGGGTAACGTGGAAGAAAGGCCTGGTGATTGTTCCTTAAACACCAGCCAGAGGAGACTCACGGAGCACATATCCACCATGACATGCAGTTCACCCCTGTGAACTGGGGTGCATCTTGTGGGAATGGAACATTTCTTCATTTTTGTGTTCTTTTAAAGTGCCCTGCCTGGCCCAGAGTCAATGATGGAGGCAGCCTCGCTGTTACACATTATCTGTTACACACACTGGGCCCCGGCCCCAGGGCTGAGGACACATGGCTGGGCTTCTGAATGACAAGTCTGTCTGGATGCGGGGCCTGAGGCAAACACACGCAGTAAGGTGGCTGTGTAGGTGATGGAAATGTGATCGTGAACACAAGTGACATGGGGAGGAGGGAGCCCCCAGCTCCCACGGCCTGGCCCAGGTGTGGCAGTGCCCGGTGGGGGCCACCACACTCAGCACTGTCGCTGCCCTGAGCCAGACCATGGTTTGGACTGAGTCCAGCAGAGACCCAACCCCTCCCCCACCTGCGCTTCCGGAAAGTCCCGGGTCCCCAAGATCCTCATCCATCCTTGCTTTGGCTTCCTGCCCTTCAGGCCTCTGCCCCAGGATTTGTCATCCCGGAACAACGCCCACGTGGAGACTGGGCTCACCTAGTGATGCGTGAGGCAGAGTGGAGCAAACGCCAGTGTGGAAAGGGGGTGTCACAGGAGGAACATGTACCCCCTCATCCAGCTTCTGCAGCCAAGGACCCTGCCGGGGGTCCTTTCCCATGGAGGGGCAGCTGACAGTCAGAACCTCTAGCTCTTGGGGAAACCTGTGCGGCTGCTTTTGTACCTAAATTTGGGAGGGTGCCAGGGACCCCTTGGGCAGATGAGGCCGCCAGGCTTTCTCGAGCCGGGAGGCAGGACTGTGCGGTGCCCTAGGGCTTGACCTTCTACTTCAGAGTCATGGCCTTGGGATTTGTGTTCGCTCTACCAGTCACTGGGGCACCTAATAGCCCAGTGTTGTCCGCATATGCCCCCAGACACCCACAGCCAACAGACTTTGAGGAGATCTTGACCTGCTGTCCAGTGGAAGCCCCTGTGTGCTACATGAGGGTGTCTGGACAGAACTGTTCCTCCCCCCTCCAGTAGCTGGGCTCTCTGAAAGACTGTGGTCCCCTGCTGTTCCCCATCCCGATAACCAGGTTCTCTGAGTGGCCGTGGACCCCAGCTGTCCTCCACTGCCATGACCAGGCTCTCTGAGTGGCTGTGGTCCCCAACTGCCCCCACCCCCATAGCTGGGCTGTCTGAGCAGCCGTGTTCCTGTCTTCCCCCACCCCCATGGCCAGGCTCTCTGTGCGTCTGTGGTCCTGACTGCAGGGCACACAGGCGCTCATGTCACCAACAGGGGCCTGACAGACAGTGCGTGTCACCCCAGAGGGCTCCTCTGGAGAGCGAGCAGAGTCTCTCCTGGGGGGAAGAACTGCTCTCTGCAGAATTAAGTGAGCCTCTGAGTGTCACCCCAGGGTCCCCTTGCACGACCGCGGCCGTCACTGGTGATTACGTGCTGCCCGAGTGAGCACTCCTGGCCCCCCGCCCCTGCCGCTTTGCTCTGGCAGATCCCCAGATGAAGCTGTGGGTTAGGGGGTGGGGGTGGGGATGCTACAGAGAATGAGGGGTCAGGGAAATGCCACACCCACACAAGGACCTGTCAGCTCCTCATGGCAGGGCTTTGACGGCCCAGGAGAGGCTGCAGAACCCTGGTTACTACCTCAGTTGATCTCCTGGGCCTGGCAGATGGCCGGTGCTCAGGACGGTGTTTAAAGAGTGAGGGAAAGAATAACTGAGTGTCTGGTGTCTCACCACGTTGGGAGTGTGAGAGTTGAAGTCCCGGGTGGAAGGTGCCATCCACACTGGCTGCAGCCCAGCCTGGAGATGGCGCAGCATAAACTGAGAACACATCAGCCCAGGTGCTGTGGTACCACCTGCTCTGTGGGCCCTGGGTGGCCAGCAGCCCCAGGGCTGTTGGTGCCCACACAGGCCTCAGGTGGGTGGGTGCCCTGGCTGAGGTGAGGGCCTGGGGCACCGATGACTTGGCGCTGAGCTCTGTCTTCACTTCAGCTTCAGCCCCAGCTGGCTGCTAATGGCCCTTGCCACCCCCCACACTCACAGAATGTGGCTAACTCCTCCGACCAGGACTTGGGGACACTGGATTATGAGAAAAGCCCCAGCGACGTGTGAGCTGTGTGCACAGCTGGTTTACCTGCGGTTTCTGGCAGCGAGGAAAGCGGGCAGCCCAGCGTGCACCCCAGTTAACCAGGGCCCCTCTCTCGTCAGGAGCTGCCAGAGCATGACCAGCTTGTTCAGCAACACCGTGTCGCCCATCAAGGACGGGACCTCCTCTCTGCCCCGCAGGCAGGGCTCGCTGGCCAAGCCCCCACTGCGCGCGCTCTACGACCTGCTCATCGCGCCCATGGAAGGGGTGAGTGTCCCTGCGGCGTCAGGACACATGGTTTCCTGCCCAGTGCCCCTGCCTGCCCCCCACCCCCCCCCAGGTGTCCAGCACTGCTCCCTTCTGTTGCTCTCACTGAACAAACGTCCACACGTGTTCTCGGTCACCGTGATCGTGGGCTGGGCCTGGGTCATCCTGTGGCCATTCTGCCCCTGCTGAGCAGGGCTCCGTGGCCACTGCGAGGGCACCTGTGAGCCCAGGACGCCTGGCTGTGCCCGTGGGAGCCACTGTCATCTGAGCCACATGTCGTTGTGCATGGCTGCCTGCCCCACCCGTGCCACCCCCATGGGCTGTGTGCCCAGGACCCCCACCCCCAGCACTTCACCTGCTGTGGTGCTGCCCACTGCCCCCCCCCACCTTCCTTCCTGAATCTTCCCAAGCTGGGGCTTCAGACACCGTCAGGATCCTGAGGTCACCCTCACACTGACGTCCCAACAAGGCCAAATGGTGTCTGTCAGGTTGCCACAATGTGCCCAGTCCTGCCCCTGACTGTCTAACAGGGAGGGCAGTGCCAGTGAGCCTGGAGCCAGGCTGAAGTCTGCACAGGGCTAGGGGTCTCAGGCCACAGTGGGGGGCAGGCCACTCGCCCCACAGTCTCTGCCTTCCTGCCCTCGCTGGTAGATGCATCTCACAGGATCTGGGGTGACTGCTCAGCACCCCATACTTCTGTCAGGCCAGGCTGTTTTCTCAGGAGGGGGGCGTGAGCCACAGACCACCTTGTATGTGACAATGTCCTTTCCTTGTCGATGACATCAGTCAGGCTACACCCTTCTGTCACTTGCAGTGAGGGGGGCCGTCAGGGCAGAACAGGGGTGAGACCAGCGGAGTGAGGAGCAGAGACTGGGCCTGGCACGTCCAGACAGCTCCTCTAGTGCCAGGGCACAGTGGCCACCCCGTCCCATCTGCCCCCGGCACGTGACACTGCAGAGCCCCAAGTGCCTGGGATGCGGGTCCAGGACCCTGCCCTCCCCTGGTGAGGTGGCTCGTCTGCAGTCACTGGCTTGGAGCGCCCCAGGGTGCCCACCAGCCTGCTCGGCTCCTGTGTCGTTCCCCCCTCCCCAGGACCGAGCACCCAGCTGTGCCTTCCCAGCAACCTGCACTCAAAACATGAACGCAGATTATACAGATTGTAGCTTTTTGCACACCAGGCATGCCTTCTGTGAGCGAGCCTCCTGTACGCACAGCGCCTGTGTCAGTGTGAGTGTTCACGTGGGTGCGTCGTCCATGAGGAAATCACGCACGGTGCCGGTGACGTGGCCAGTCGACTCTCGTGTGTCCCCTCAACTCCTCCGGGCCTTGGAGGGGTGTCTGGACTCTCGGCTCACTCTCTCCTCCTCCAAGTTCTCATGCATTTGCTGGTTTGCAGTGGGGGTTGTTAATGCCACACTGGATGGTCAGGGGGCCTGGCTGTTGCTATTTGAGTCAGAAGTGAACACAGGACCCTGTGACATGCTGCCCCGACCCCCACAGTCACTCAGCGCTGGGACTGTGTGAACTGGCGGCATCCTCTCATCTCGACACCCCAGGTCACCTCCTCTGAAGCCCCTTCCCTCCTCTCTGGGGTCTCCCTTCACCCCCCCCCCCGAGGGCCGGCAGCTGGCACAGGCCTGGGGCAGGCAGTGGTTTACAAATGGCATTTGCTCTTGAGGTTTACTGTGACACAGAGAGCAGACTGCCAGACGTCGGGGTTCTCTGCGGGGGGTGGGGTGTCCTTTTGGTCCACTTACTTTGCCAGAGCTTAGCAAGCCCTGACACATGCCAGGCATTTGTCCCCAACACAGCAGAGAGGCAAGGGATGGTGGTCCCAGGTGGGGTGGGCCACCTTGAGTTTGGGGGTTTCCTGGGGGCTCCCAGGGCTGCAGAATGATCCCGGCCCCAGGAGGGCCAGGCAGCTGGACCTCACTCCTCAAGCAGGCAGGATGGCCCTGTCCTGGGATCCACTAGAGGGCGACACGCCACCATGGACTGGCTTCCATCAGCCAGCCTCATCTCCACATTCCCATGAAAATCCAGATCAGGACCCAAATTAGGAGTCACTGACACCTCCAGACGAAGGCGATTAGCCTCGTCACATGGGGCTCTTAATTATTTGAACAGTCGCCCCTGGTTAGTCTCCAACCTCTTCAGAGGGACTAGGTCAGACGGCAGGAAAGTGGGCCAGCGGAATGTCTGCCTGCAGGCCTCGTGCCCGTGTTTGATTTGATTTGGCTTCGGGGGCCCGGCCTGTGCTCCCCCATGGCCCTGTCCTTTGCTGTCAGGACGCAGTGGGGGCGGCCAGGCATCTCGGCGAGGAGGGTGCACCAGCTGCACGAGCCATCAGCAAACATCACATCAGGTCTTGATACCCACAGGAGAAATGTCACCCAAGACAAGTGGAAGTGTCGCGTGTGAGAGGAGAAGAGGACCTTGTGCCCCTGACATTCACTGTTAGGGAAACAGAGTGAAGGGTGGTCACTGTCGCCACACCTGGACCTCCCCTTGGGCATGGGAAGGGCCTGGACCTATGTGCTCCCACAGTCCACAGAGCCACATGGCTACAGTGGTGTCTGCAGGGCCACAGCAGGCTGCTGGCCCGGCCTGTACCCCCAGGCAGTAGCGACAGGCCAGCTGGCAGGGGCACCACCCCGCCACTCCAGACCCCAAGATGTGAGTGTGTGTGCAGAAGCCAGGAGGTGCCATCACCAAGGGCCTGAATTGAAAGCAGAGGATTCCTTCATCCACTCCGAGGCCTGGGGCCTCTGCAGGATCCTGGGCACTTGGACTTGACCTAGTTACATCCGGCATCTCTATAGGCTTTGTCTTTATTTTTTATTATTCAGATTCTCTCTTCCTCATACTTGGTTTTCAAAATCAAACTAGCACGAGCTAATGCCTGCTCAGAAAGCACGTGCCCTCGTCCAGTCCGCCTGGGTCCCAGCAGCATGGAGCCCTTGAGGTTCCTGTCACCCCACCCGAACCGGGGCCCTCAGCACCGCAGCCTGGACATCTACCCGAATCCACCATGAAGGTTCAGCCCAGGCCCAGCTCTGAGGGGGTTTATGGCGAGGCCATGGCCAGGACAGGACAGACCTCGGTGTGGAAACGCCTCTGGCAGAATCGAGTGACGTGGTGGAGCCGCTTCCCCGTGGAGGAAGCCTGGGCGTCGAGGGCCTGCCTTGCACATAGATGGCCGGGTGCAGGCAGACGGCACCGCCGCCCGGCTGCCTTGCTGCTTTCTGATTGAGGCATGTGTACAGTGAAACAAAGACCAACAAGGAAAGAGAGCGTTTCCACAGCCAGCTAGGAGAACAGTGGTGGCAGTCCCCACAAGCCACCATGTCCTACGAGCCGGTGACCCCTGTGCCGGGTCAGTGCCGTCGGGTGGTGGCTCTGACCTGGCTGGCAGTCCACAGGCTCTGGTGACAGGTCCCGAGGAGGAGGGTGGGTGCGATTCCATCAGCTCAGCCAGGCCGAAGGTCTGACCTTCAACCCCTCCAGTCTGGCCCTGCTCTCTCATCGACTGGACTGAGGGTGGACACCGGACGGGCCCCTCCACATGGTCCGCCGTTCAGCTGGTCGAGCAGACCTGATTACTGCTGCTCGCTTTCTGGCTCGAAAGCAGCACCTCCACTCTGAGTAGATTTGAGTCCTCATGTGAGTTAACTTCCAGTAATTGCCTGTCAGCTGGCTGTATGTTGGGGCTTGAGTCATGCATGCCACTGGCATTTCATATACCAGCAGGTGGATAGATTTCAGAGCAGCTTTAAGATGAAGACAGACTAGGAAGAAAGGCCTGGTTATTTCCTTTTAAAAACCAGTTCAAACCTCGTGGATCACAAGAGAAGACTGCACAATGCTGGGCTGCAAGATGAAGGATTCCCAGTACAGGGACCATGCCAGTCGCCGGCTGCCCAGCTGTGAGCATGAGGGTGGCCCTGGAGGGGCACCAGCCCTCTCCCTCTGGTACGCAGGACCACCGCGGGTTGTAGCTGACTCCATGGCAGCAAACAAGTCCAACTGTGATGTTGGATGAAACTGCATATGTCATGCAGGACAGCAAAACTTCTCAGAAGCATCTTGAAGGGGGTTCTTTCATCTTTTAAAGTTCTGTTGTTTGCTCAGTTCACTCAATGCAAACTATGGGTCAGGAGTGATCTCTGGGGTGTCCAGAGAAGCCTTTGCCTGAAATTTGCTTTGTGTTGTTTGTTGTTAAATAACCATCACGTCAAGCGTGACCACAGTGACCCTATGAACAAGTCTGAGCCCTATCCTGTCCATCTTCATCTCTGATTTACTTGAGCCCACTGCTGAAGTCACGGTCAGCCCACCTCCCTGCAGGTCTCCCTCTTTCGCTGACCTTCCAACCTTCCAAGCATGATGTCCTTTTCCAAAGACTGGCCCCTCCTAACAGCATGCCCACAGTATGTGTGATGAAGCTTCACCATTTTTGCCTCCAATGAGTACCTTGGTTTTACTTCCTCTAAGACATATTTATTTGGGGCGGGGGTGGCAGTCCATGGTATATTCTGTAGTATTCTCCAACACAAAGGCATTGATTGATTCATCTTCTGTCATCTTTAGTCACTGTCCAACTTTCAGACGCACAGCAAATACCTGAAAAGACCATGGCTTGAATCAGGTGCACCTTAGTCTTTAAACTGACATCATTGCCCCTAGGCACCTTGGTAAGACCCTTGACAGCAGATTTTCCCAATGTAATACACCTCTGATTTCTTGACTGCTGGTGCCAAGGGTGTTGATTGTGGATCCAAATAAGATGAAATCATTGACAACTTCAAACTTTTCTCCATCTGTCATGTTGCCTATTGGTCCAGTGTTGAGGATTTTTGGTTGATTTTTGTTATGTTGAGATGTAATCCACATTGAGGGCTGATGTCCTTGATCTTCTGCAGCAAGTTCCAGTCTTCTTCATTTCAGAAGGAAGGTTGTGTCATCTGCATAATGCAGGTTCTTACTGAGTGTCCCTCCTATCCTGATGAGGCTGGTCGGGAGCTGTTCCCAGGACCTCCCACCTGCACAGTCAGTCTTGCCTCATCTCCTGATCAGAGCTGCCATCCTCCAACCACCCCAGCCCCCATGAGCCCAACTTTCAGGGGGCTTCTGCAGTACCCCAATCTCGGGCTGCCTGACAGGTCACCTTGGGTCCTTGTGTAAGCTGATCTCTGTCCTCTGTAGATGCCACCCCTACTCCAAGGTGCTTTAGGAGGGTCAGCCGTTTCCTCGGCTCCACGTCCAGTGTTCAAGACTCTCTCCTTGTCCCCTTTTCTCTGCTGGTGCCACCTGGGTGTGAACTGCTGGGTGTGTCCCCATCCTGTGACACAGGAGGCCCTGAAAGCTGGGCAGAGCTTGGAAGCTGTGAGAACTGAGCTTTCACCCCTCACTAGCAGGAACCTCAACACTGGCTCCACACCCCACCTGGCTGAGCCCAGGATGGGACAGGACTGGACAAGCCTCCTCTGGCAAGGCTGGGCCTTCTCGCCCATTTGGGCCAGTGCCCCGGGAGGGCACTAACAGGCTGGGGTGGCCTTATGAGCAGACATTGTGTCCCCAGGTGTTCACCCTCAGCAGCACACGACCAGGATGTGAGGCCCCATCCCACTGCCAGGGGTGCAGCTGGAGGAGGCCCTCCAGCAGGAAGGTGGCCACATTCAGGAGTCCTGGCTGAGGGGACACATGCGTGTCCTTAGGTCAGCACTCTGGGTGGGAAGGCTTGGGGGGTGCGGACTCCCACAGACTTCAGGGGAGCCCACCACTCCCCTTGCTGCACTGCCTTTGATCACATGTGCACATGCTGTGTGACTGGGATTTGTGTCCCCTGTAAGGTGACAGGTGCAGAGGTGCTGGGGTTCCACTGGGGCACAGGGTCCAAGGGAGCCTGGGGGTGGCCTGGCATCGTGTCACAGCAGTGTCCGGCTTTGTACACGGCACAGGCCTGGCCCTGCGTGGCTGGTGGCAGTGTGGCTTTCTCTGAGCAGTAAGCAGATTGTCACTGTCACAGCTGCTGCCCTATCACTGAGGTGGGGAGACAGCTCTTCCTCTCTGGCTCAGCTCCAGACAGCATGGTGGCCACCCTCCCTGGAGTGTCCTCAGAGGACCCCACACCCCAATCTCCTTCCTAGCTTTCCTCTAACGCCCCTGGAAAACAGCTCAGAAGACAAACAAGAAGCAGACTGACCTAGTAAGTTTTTGTTTGCTTTACATGAAGCAAAAATTAAAATACGGAGAGAGTAAGAAGCCATGAGGGGTTACAGGCAGAACGCCTGCCAGGCAGTGTCACTGTGGGTTAGCAGAGTCTCTGCCACCAGCTGCCCCGTGCCCAGAGCAGTGGGTCAGCAGATGGGCGGGGGGACTGCTGCGACACCCACAAGCCCCAGGGCACGCGCTCCCCTGCCTTCGCTGTGTCGTCCTCCCCCCAACTCAGTGCCCACGTGTCCTCCGGATGCTGGGTGCAGCCTCGTCCTGCTGGACGGCCAGCTGTCACATCTGAGTGTCTGGTCCCCAGCACCATTCTCTCCAAAAGCCTAAAGGTCCTGGTCTGGGTCCAGGTCCTCCTCTCCCATCTAGGGGATGTCATCCTGGTTTCCAGAATTTTCCATCCACCTCTTCCAGTCTCTGGATTCTGCTCTGGTCAGGTGTCTTCTGTTCCCAGGAGCCATTCCCACACCACGTCTAGGTCCCCATGCGCACACAGCACCCCTGCCCCACACTGGGAGTCCACGTGTCCTGATGCCCATCCGCAGGGACCTGCTGGACCTCCCCAGCTTGCACTTGTTGGGATCCCCCGTGAGTGAGTCCCTGCCGTGCTCCCCACAGGGCCTAATGCACTCGAGCGGCCCCGTGGGGCGACACCGGCAGCTGGTCCTGGTCCTGGAGGGCGAGCTCTACCTCATCCCCTTCGCCTTGCTCAAGGGCAGCGCCTCCAACGAGTTCCTGTACGAACGCTTCACCCTCATCGCTGTGCCTTCTGTGCGTGCCCTCAGCCCGCAGGCCAAGGTACGTGACACTGCCCTCCTCACAGGTGTCATCGTGGGCAGGTGACCTGGAGCAGAGGTGGGGTGCTCGCGTCACCTGGCAGCCATGATGCCTGCCCTTCCTCCCCATGAAGCTTCTTGGCTGTGACATCCAGGTGGTGACCACTAGGTCAGGTCAGGCGAGTATATCTAGGGTCCGGTAGTGGAGCCCCCACTTGGTGATGCTCATTAACTTCTCTGAGGTGCTTAACAACAGACACCACCTCCGTCCCTCAGGCTGGTCCCACCTAAGCTATGTCCGTCCCTCAGGCTGGCCCCACCTAAGCTATGTCCCCCTGGATGGCCCTGTACCCCTCACATCATCCTCCTGCTGGGCCATGTGCCCTTTACCTCCTTCTGACTGGGCCGCGTGCTGCAGAGCTGACGGGCCACAGACAGATGAGACTCCCTCTGGAGAAAGCAAGTCAGTGGACCAGTGAGAGGACTGAGAGCAGACAACGTGGCCTTCAGGGGACAGGCAGGAACTTGATATGGCAAAGGCCATGTAACTCATGGTGACAATAGTCTGCCACCCAAAGTGTTGGCTTCACCCCCAAAACCCCCACTGCCCGGATCCCCAGCACTTCAAAATATCTCAGAGACTGGTTCTCTTGGACCTTCATCACCCAAGCAAGGCCCCCCACACCCAGGGCCCCTTGTGCAGCATCGCACCTGCCTTTACACCAAGACCAGCAGCCCAGTTCTCACGGTCCCTCTGCCCCATGGGCTTCGCATGGCCTGCAGGAGGCTGTGGGTCGGCCCTGCCTATTGTCATCCGGGTCACAGGGTTGGTCCCACTGGGGTAGTTCCTGCCTCTCAGATCTGTGGGCTTTTGTGACTGGTTTTGATGCTTTCCTGGGGGCTCAGTGGGTCCCGGGTGCAAAGTGAGTTCTCACACCCCCACACAGCAGCTGTCCCCTGCCACCAGCAGATAAGGACTAGGGTAACACCTTAGGTGGGACCAAAGCCTTGATTTCGATGGTGACAGTTTCCACTCGAATGGGGTCTGGGTCAGAGCTGACTCAGTGTCACCCTGCATGACCTCCCCGGGCCGTGGGACAGCTCCTCACAGACCTGTGGGGCCCCTGGCCAGAGCATGTGGCCAGGCCACAGAGCAGCAACTTAGCACCTGGAAGTGGTCCAGCGCTCCAAGTCCATCACTTAAGAGGTCACCCCAGGGCTCAGCTGGGCCTCTCAGGCGCCTTCATGTTTCATTTTGAAGAGCAGAAAGCCAGGGGCCCTGGGATCTTTCGAGGTGGCATTCCTGCAGGCCGCAGTCTGGCCTGGGGTCACCGAGACGGGTGTAGCTTTTTTCCCCCAGTATTTAATTTTTTAAATTTTTAATATTTTTTAATAATGAACATTTACAGAGAATTTTGATTTCCATTCATTCATTGCTGCACTTCTCTACCCACCCAGCCGTCTCACCCTGCCCCCCCAGTTCGCTCCTCTCTTTCAAAAGTAAAAGATTCCCTCCCTGGTACACAATCCCCCCGCACCCCTCCCACCGCCCCAAGTACATTCCACTATGCAACATTAATTGTGGACTCCTGTGATAACCTTAATACCCTATCATACATCACATTTAAATTATTCACTCCCTCATCTGTTTCAGTGCAGTATACACAATCAGTTTTTCTCAGTCTTACCCCCACGATGGGTGTAGCTTTATCCTCTTTAAAGAACACCCTGGCTGGAGCAGGCATGTCCCTTCTTGGGGGTGAGCTCCACAGCCTCCCGGGGCACTGCAGCCCCTCCCTTTGTCACATGCTGTCCCATCTGTCCCCAGGTGCTTGACAAAGATGACCTATCCTCCCACCACCGATGGGTGGCTGTGTTCCTCAGCAAATCACACCCCAGGTCATGAGTGAGAAACTGGGGGGCCAGGGTGAGCCAGGGGGCTGTGCTGCTGAGGCACCCCACCGGGGCATGTGCCCTGATGGCTGTTTTGTCCCCCCAGTGTCACCTGAGGAAGAGCCCGCCCACATATGCCGGCTCCACGTCCATGGCAGCCGTCATCGGCAACCCCAAGCTGCCCGCAGCCGTGATGGACCGGTGGCTGTGGGGGCCCATGCCGTCGGCCGAGGAGGAGGCCTACATGGTGTCGGAGCTGCTGGGCTGCCAGCCGCTGGTGGGCAGCGTGGCCACCAAGGAGAGGGTGATGAGCGCACTGACACAGGCAGAGTGCGTGCACTTCGCCACCCACATCTCCTGGAAGCTGTCCGCCCTGGTCCTCACGCCCAACGCTGACGGCAACCCGGCCAGCAGCAAGAGCTCCTTCGGCCACCCCTACACGATCCCCGAGTCCCTGCGGGTGCAGGATGACACCAGCGACGCCGAGAGCATCTCCGACTGCCCGCCGCTGCAGGAGTTGCTGCTCACGGCCGCCGACGTGCTGGACCTGCGGCTGCCCGTCAAGCTGGTGGTCCTGGGCGCTTCACAGGAGTCCAACGGCAAGGTCACGGCCGATGGCGTCATCGCGCTGACACGCGCCTTCCTGGCCGCCGGCGCACAGTGTGTCCTGGTGTCCCTGTGGCCTGTGCCGGTGGCAGCTTCCAAGATGTTCATCCACGCCTTCTACTCGTCCCTGCTGAACGGGCTGAAGGCCAGCGCCGCCCTCGGCGAGGCCATGAAGGCCGTGCAAGGCAGCAAGCCCTTCTCCCACCCATCCAACTGGGCAGGTAGGGTGCCCACCCTAGCACTGTGGCGGGCACAGGCCAGCTCGCGACCCTCGGGCTACACTCGGGCGGGCGGGGGGCTGGGGAGGGCACCCATGAGCTGGGAGCCTCAGCTTTGTCCAATGTGCTGTTAGCAACAGGGGTTTCAGCTGGTCTTTGTTCTGCTAGCCTAGTGGGTAAGGAGTCTTGCTGCCTTCCCAAAGGCAAGTGGTTTGAATCCACCAGCTGTTATACAGGAGAAAGAGGGGCAGTCTCATCCCAGGCAGTTTACAGCCTCTGAAGCCCTGCTGGAGGGTCAGCGAGGATTCGAACCCGGTGGCTATCAGTCTCCGTTTGTGTTTCTCTCATAGGGAGCAGCCATTAGTGGGTGTGGGGTGGTATATTAAATAGCACCTTCATTTACAATACGCTTACTTGGAAAAGGGGGGGCAAAGACTCTAGACTTGGGGGCCAGGAACAGTTCTGGGTTGAGGTGGCTCGGCCTGGCTGTGTGGCCTGAGCCTCCTGGAGTCCCATGTGGGCACTTTACCCCACCCACCCAAGGGGACCTGAGAGGAGGGAAGGGATGTCCCCCAAGGTGGATGGGTCCAGAGGAAGGGAGGTGGGCTTGGCCTCTGATCAAAGGAGGAAGAACACACCCCACTGGGAGCTGAGCAGCCCAGTGACAGTTCTGACCCATGCAGGCGCCCTCCTGACATGTGACACACCCACTTCTCCCTCAGATTCGCTCAGCCCTGGCCCCGTCTCCCCACCACCCATCTTCTCCCCGAGACCGGCTCGGCCCTGGCCCCCATCCCACCACCCATCTCAGCCTGCACCCTGTGCCTTAAACCCTGGGAGACACAGAAGATCCCCAGAACCTCTGTATCCACTGATGCACACACTGTTGTCTTCATGAGACGTCTTCAGAGACGTGCACGGCACATGAGCTGATGGAAGCCCCCTGAAGGACAGGTGCACAGACTGAGGCAGAGGCACAAACAGCACACAATAAATTCTGGCAAAACCCAGTCACGTTATTCCTTGAGATGGTGGCGAGGACCCGATGATAGTCCAGGGATAGTTGGCACAGCATTGGCAGGACCTTGCTGTAGAACGTGTGCCCTCCCAGCCAAACAGGACTGTATTCTGACCAGAGGGAACAGAGGTGTCAGCCGGCCACCCAGGGAGTTAGCTGGTCGACAGCCCCTGCTGTCCAGTGGTCCCTGGCCAGGCCTGCTGTGGCTGCACTTGGGCAGAAGACAGGCACAGGATGGGGGCTGATGGATCAAGGCCCCCTGAGGTGCCTCCCTGTGCTTCCCCAGGTTTCATGCTCATTGGGAGCGACGTGAAGCTCAACAGCCCCTCGTCCCTCATCGGCCAGGCCCTCACGGAGATCCTGCAGCACCCAGAGCGCGCACGGGATGCCCTCAGGGTTCTCCTGCACCTGGTAAGGGCCTGGGCCGTTGTGGGGTGTTCTTGGAGTGAGGCGTGGGACAAGCCCTCCTGACCCTGAGCCTGGTGAGAGGGGCCGTTCTGACGTTCAGCCATTATGTCTGAAGCTCAGGGTCTTCTCAAAGGAAGCTTACTCAGGCCTGAAGGGAGCAAGAGAACCCAAAAATCTGCTGGCAAGTCTGATCAGACCTGGGGGAGCCTGTGGCCTGCTGTTTGGGTGGACGTGCCCGCACGCCGGGAACTAGCAGGTCGCTAGCACTCAAGCCACGTAGCGCTCAGGCCTCCTCCCTTGGTGCAGCCCCAGGCCACAAGCTATCCTCACCCACTGTAGCCCATTCTGACAGGAGAGGAGTCCCCTCAAGCCCCACTTTTTTTTTTTGTACACACCTTTTTTTTCGACAGAGTTCTAAGAGCTGTTCTTCAAAAGAGGAAGGTGCCAGGCCAAAGGTGCCTTGGTCAGGGATGCAGAGGGCGCCTCTCAGTGGTACTTTACAAGCACTCCCATTTGAGTCCCTGTGAGAAAGGGGGTGGCTGTCAGCACCACGGACAGCCCAGAATCACGCTTCTCCATGCGGCCTCGCTGGGCCAAGCCCCGAGTTTAACCTCCCTGAGCATCCTCTCCTTCAGGGGTACGATGGAGGCCAGCCTGCAGTCCCCCCACCCCGGCTCCTAGGGCCCTCTCCCCTTCTGTCTGTGCTCTGTGCTCTGAGAGCAACTGCCACGTCAAGTTTTTCAGACCTCTCTGGCCACGCCTCCTCCTGACGGTGCTGATGCTGGCTCACGCTCACTCCCCAGCGGGGACCGTGTCTCCAAAGCCGGAGGACCAGGGGTCAGTGCTGCTGTTCTGTGGCATGTATGAGAGCCACACTTGCTCCAGCCTTGGCCTTGGGTCCCAGTGTCCCCACATTCTACTGCAGGAAAATCTTAGGAAGCATCCGGGGCCATTCATTCATACATTCCAGGGGCAGCGCGTGCCCTTGGGGTGTGTGGCATCTCAGGATGAACCCTAGAGAAAGAGGGCTGACAGAGACATGCCTCCCCTGAAGGCCCTCTGTGGCAAAAGCTCACTCAGGTGCAACCTAGTGGTTTCCTGGAAGAATTCAGACTTCTGGTGCCAAGCACCAGGTACGGCCCAAAAAGACTGGGTACTTCCTGTGAGGGGATCCAGAGGCTGGTGCAGGAGGAGGCCCAGGGGAGAAGGGGACTGGCTGGGGACCCGAGCAGTCCTGCAGCAGATCTGGAGGGGCCGTGGACGTGGGGTAGGAACCGGCGTGATTTACAGCAGGTCCCTGAGCGCCACTTCCAGACGGATCCCTCGGGGGAGGAGAGCCCAGCACAGGGGGTTGGGAACAGGAGACCATTCCCATAGAGGGGCCAGTCATTCGATCTGTGTCCTCTCATGCAAGTCACCCCAGAGTCGCAGTCCCCATCACAGACAAGGCTATGACGTGTCTGCGGAGGGCGGCGGTCAGTCAGCCGTGCCCAGGACTCGAGGGGCTGGCAGCACAGTAGGCTCACCCCGCTCCTCTTGCAGGTGGAGAAGTCCCTGCAGCGCATCCAGAACGGGCAGCGCAACGCTATGTACACCTCCCAGCAGAGCGTGGAGAACAAAGTGGGGGGCATCCCCGGCTGGCAGGCCCTCCTCACCGCCGTGGGCTTCCGGCTGGACCCCCCTGCTAGCGGCCTGCCTGCGGCCGTCTTCTTCCCGACCTCGGACCCGGGTGACCGGCTCCAGCAATGCAGCACCACCATCCAGTCCCTGCTGGGTAAGCCGAGGCACATCCCAGCAGTGTGAGCCTTGGAGAGCTGGAGGCCACTGAGGGCCCTGCATTCATGAGAGCTTGGGCCCAGAGGGATGGCCCGGAGGGAGGGCTGGCACGCAGGGAGGGCTGGCCTGCAGGGAGGGCTGGCCCGCAGAGCTGGAGGCTGTCCAGTTCTGAGATCCGTGATGACATGTGTCCCGTGCCTGAGGCAGTGCACCATCACCCTGTGGCTGGCAGCTGGGGACCCAGCACAGCTGTGTGGTGGCCCCAAGATGCAGCTGAGTGTGTGGCCCAGGGGTGGGGAGACCAGGTCCAAGACCATGGCCGAACACTCTCCTTTTCTGACTGGGAAGCACACGCTGGCCCAGCCTGGGTTTTCAGCACCACCATGCTGAACATGTCTGGGCCCTTCCTTGCTAATGCACCCCTTTCTTGGTGCAGGTTTGCCCAACCCGGCCCTTCAGGCGCTCTGCAAACTCATCACGGCCTCCGAGACTGGGGAGCAGCTCGTCAGTCGGGTGAGTGCTGGGAGGACCCACAAGTGCACAGTGCCCCTTCATCCCTCGGCCTTTGTGGGGTGTCGGGAGGGGCAGCTCTGGGAGCCAGCAGACCAGCTGTCCAGGGCCTTTTGTCTCTGCTGTGGCCCTGTGTCCCCACTGCTGGCAGCAGTGCAGAATCCTCTAGACACGGTGATACTGTGGGCTGGCTCTCTGCTCACTGACCTGCCCCTCCGGACCTCCACCCCGTTTCTCAGCCATGAACACGCATTCTGGTCACTCCCAGGCCCATGAGGCCACCTGCCTGGACAGAGACATGTCCCAGTACTTAAGCTCCGAGTCCATACTTAATACAAAATAGCAAAGAGGCAGCACCTCCCCAGCACAGAGGGGAGGCTGGGTGGGAGGCAGCTTAAAGACGCTGTCTTGCTGTTTCGCGGGAGACTAGACCCCGCGCGCGGAGATTTGGAGGACTCCTCACCCCTCAGCTCCCCCCACTGCTCTGCAGCCCCTCCTCAGCCCCCATCCTCCCCGAGTGGGTGCCTCAGTGAGGACCCAGCCTCCTGCAGAGGGCACTCTGCTCATTTCAGACAGTAATTGTCAGCAGAGATGCTTCTCAAGAGTTCACTGGAAACAAAGCTGCCTTCTCATCCAGGAGCACCCCAAGTCCTCTACTCTGGCCAGACGCCAAACACTCCATCCCTTCTCCTGGATCCCCGCTCAGTGTGTGTTCAGCATGGGGGGCACACCCAGGCCCTTGAAAGCCAGCAGGACTAGACCTGGGAGCGACAGCGAGAAAGTGTGCGTGATCTTGGCAGCGCAGGGCGGGAGTCCAGAAAGGCCAGCTGCGTAATGTCTGTCTGTCTGTGGGAGCACAGGGACTTCCCACGTGTAACAGTGCCAGCCAGGGAAGTATGTCCTGGGGCTCCCGGGGGCTGGCGGATGGGGCTCGTCTGTGGAGCCGCTGCGGCAACCCCCAGCCTGCTCCACGGCCTGAGCTCCGGCTGGCCGGCGTGGCCACTGCTCTGTCGTCCCTGCTGCCTCTCTCCTTTCCCACCGGCCGCCACCTGTCCTCCGTCAGCTCGCGATGCATAACCACCTGTGCTTGAGTCTAAACTCTCTTCTCTCTCTCTTTTTTCTTCCTTTCTCTTAAAATCTGCTGGCTGAAGGCTGTTAAAAATATGGTTGGAATGGTGAGTACTACTTTAAGTAGCAGCTGTCACCAGGTGAGCCCGACCCCACACGTGGAGCCGCAGGCTGGCGGTCTCCCCTCCTCTGCTCTGCTCCCCTTTTCCTTCTTGACCCTTCTCGTGCTCTTGATTTGACCTTCCAAGTTCCACTGAGCAGCAGGGGCCGGGGCGACTTTAAGGAAGGACGGGCCCCCGTGTGAAGCAGACCCCGAGCTGGTTCCATGAAGGGCCTGGACATCAGAGGCCTCTTCTCTAGTTACCTCAAGACCAGAGGCAGCCTCTCGTGGCAGAGGACGGGGAGCATCTCCTGCCTCGGCCCAGGCGCTGCTCAGCCCAGCTGTCCCGAGATGGGCCAGCGCAGGCCCCAGCGTCTGTCATTAGCCACAGGCCACCCTTTTATTTGACCGCAGACACCTAGAAAGGCACATTCCAGAGTCCCGTTCAATCCAGGCATTCACTGTGCCTAAAACACATCGCCTCGCGCCTTGAACCCCACTGTCCCAACCAGGTTCTCAGACAGGTTCAGTCACAGCCAACAGAGAAAACCAGAACAGATCTGAGTTTTGTAAATTCTAGTGACTCAGAACGTTAGGTGGAATGGGAGACGCCTGCTCAGAAAGACGATGGGTGACCCCGTATTATTGGGACGGCTGTGGGTGGAACTCTTAAAAATAACCACTGCCATCCAGTCAGAACAGGCCAAAACCTGAAAGCCCTCCAACCGTCCAGTGGGTTTTCAGAGACTGGAAATTGCATGGGAGGAAACTGTCCATATTTCTCCCACAGAGAAGCTGGTAGATTCAAACTGCCTGCCTTTGGGTTGGAATTTCACCTGCTTACCCTCTAGGCCACCAGAGTTAACAGTCAAAAGCAGTGAGTCATCACTGAGCCGGCCACAGGCGTTTTCAGCTCAGTTAAGTCAAGAGATTAGGCCGCTCTGTAGAAGCTCAGTGCCCTTGTTTCAAAGAGGGAGGCAAGGGCTTTGACCCTTTCTAGGGTCATAAGTTCTAGCAGGGCCTTGACCCGTAGTTCTTACCATTCCAGTTAATGTTCTGCTTCACCCACATTTTAGAAATTTAGGTCTGCTCAGGTGTCACAGTGTCAGCCACGAACCAGCCTTTCCAAGGAATAACACAGTAATAGGTATGCAGGCACTTAAAAAAAGAAGTCTCAAATGCAGTACAGAGAACCGTGCGGAGGGGTGGCCTGGGGACGCGTCCAGAGGAGGGCCAGAGGGAGGCGATGCTGGAGGAGGAGGGCTCACGCCTGCTGTCCCCTCTCAGCTCCACCAGGTGCTGGTCCAGCTCCAGGCTGGTGACAAGGAGCAGGACTTCGCGTCGGCGCCCATCCAGGTCTCCATCAGTGTCCAGCTGTGGCGCCTCCCGGGATGCCACGAGTTCCTGGCAGCTCTAGGTAGGACAAGGGTCCCTGACTTGACTGCCTTCCTTAGTCACTTTCTTAAATGTCTTTTTCTATTGTTTTTGTCAGGTTGTGGTAGTAGACTCTTTGGAGGCTTGTTGCAGTGTTTCCCAGTTAATTTTCTTATTTAAAAATAACGGTTCTAGTGCTTTCACGAGATCCTCAGCTGTCCCGTTCACCCAGCACAATGGCTTCACCTTTATTAGTGTCATTTGCTTAACATGAACCTGCTGAATCCTGTTTTTGTTGAGGTCTAAGAAGTCGAGCCATAAAATGGTGTTTTTAAATGCTGGGCTCCGGGAAATGGGCAGAAATAGTGCTGTGGAAATTGCCTCTGATTTGACCACAGGTACATCCTGGAATCCCGTTCAGGCCCATTCACTTTCCTGACGTCAGCAATAATCTCCCTGGAGCCACAGCCTCTTCCAAATGGCAGTTCTCACTCAGTGTACTGTTCTAGCCATTTCTGGATGGTCTTCAGCAACATTTTGCTTCAACGTGATATTAACGATACTGTTTGATAATTTCCAGATTCTGTTGAGAATGGGAACAAACGTCTCTCTCTTTCAGTCACATTTCCTGCGTAAACTAGGGAGCACATCCAGGGCTGTCTCTATTAGTTGAAACTGTCAAGTGGTATCACATGGATTCCCTGGGCCTTGGGTTTTGCCAGTATCCTCAGTGCAGCTTGTCCTCCTTCGTTACCATTGGCTCTTGGCATGTCACCAGTGTTTCAAATGTCAGAAGGGTCACAATGGTGGAAAGATTTCTTATTTTAATTTTTTTCCTCTACTAGTTTATTTACAAAGTTCTCAGCCAAGCTTTTAAGATTAAAACAAACTAGGAAGGAGGCTTAATCATCTACTTCTGACCTCATAGGCCTCTGAAAACCCTCTGAACAATACAGGACTCTAGTATTACACGTCGGAAGTCACCAAGAAAGAGAAACAGCTGCCAATCCCTTTACTCACGGGACACAGAATGCACAGAGATCAAGCGGGCTGGCACAGGCCACTTGGAATCAGATCGTCGTATGATCTATTGTGCCAGGAATACAAAACTGAGGAAGAATGGTATGTTAAAAAGGCAATTTCACGATCTACCCTAAAGTACAATGTTGTGAATCTATCCCCATGCATACAAGGAAGACCTGTTGATATGACTATTATCCAAATATATACACCAAAAGAGGAAGATATTGAGGATTTCTACCAACATTTGCAGTCCAAGATTGACCCAAGTATGCAATCAAAATGCATTAATATTTATTGGTGACTAGAATGCAAAAGCTGCATAGAAGGAGGAAGGAATGGTAGTTGGAAAGTATGGTCTTTCTGAATTCTGAAGGTTCAATCATTGCAAAAACCTTTTTTTGAAAAAACACATAAGGTAACATTGCACATGGACCTCACTCCTGATCTGCACAGGAATCAGATTGACTACATCTGTGCAAAGAATCACTGGAGCGGCGCAGTATCAGCTGTCAAAGCCAGTCGCTGACTGTGGAACAGACCATCAGCTACTCGGGTTCAAGTTCAAATTGAAGCGGAAAACAAAACTAGTCCCAAATTATGGCCTTGAGTCTATCCCACCCAAATGTAAAACTCATCTCCAGAGTAAGTTTGAGGCATTGAACACTAATGATCAAAGACCAGATGAATTGTGGGATGACATCAAAAGTAGAATCCATGCGGAGAGCAGAAGGTTCTGACAGAGACGGAGGAGGAAGACAAGATTTAAATGGATGACAGGAGAGACTGAGCCCAAACAAAGGGAAGGCATGCAGAAGAGGGGGCAGCAGACTTCAAAGGGCAGCTCAAGAAGACAAAGCATTATAAAGAAATGTGCAGAGAACTGGAGAATTAAAAGGGGGAAGAACTTGCTTGGCATTTCTCAAGCTGCAAACCAAATTCAAGCCTCGAGTTGCAATACTGAGAAGTGCAATCGGCAAAATTGACTGATCCAGGAAGCATCAAAAGGAGGAGAGAATACACAGAGTCACTGTGCCAGAAAGAATTGGTTGCTCTGAGTACTCCCTTTTTAAAATGGTGAGCGCTAGGAGTGGGTGCTGTTGCTTATGGGAACTGTGTTTCGAGTTCAGGGAGGAAAACCTCCCATAGCAACCAGATGCCGAGTGGCTCCTTGAGGAACCTAACTGCAGAGGGAGTGAGGGTTTCCTGAACAGTCTCAGTGTCTCTCACACGCTCTCTCCTCCATGCATGGCACAGAGAGAGCAGCAGGTGCTGGCCCTGACCTTCACCATGGTGAGGACAGAGAATGGAGGGTGCCCTGTCGGAGGCATCTGCCCCCATGAGCTTCAGCATTCAGTTTTCTGCCCCCTCTCAGAGGCCTCCCTGGCTGAGCTCAGAGGCTGCGCTGTGCATGTTTGGCTTCTTCAGCCCTTTCCCAGGAGGTGTCTTTAGTGGGGCCTCAGGAAGCACCCTTAACAAGTCTCGGTGCTGTGTCACCAGCTCTCACCAGCTTGTTAGCCGCCCAGCTGGGGAAGCCCTGCTTTTTGCTGGGCCTGCTCCCCATCTCATTAGCATCACTGGCCTCTCAGGGTTTGACAGAGTGGACTCCCTGCAGGGCAGTTCATCTAGGAAAGCTGAGTCACCATCTCTGTGAGCCACCAGGCCCTCAGACTGACCACGTATAGGACACTACCCCTCCCCTGGCAGGGGGCTGCCACCTCCCCACTCTGCAGCTTTGTACAAATGGAGGGGCCCATTTCCCCGTTGTTCTGGGATTGCAGTGCAGTTTCCTGCCACGAGGCCACCAGAGCTTGCTCTCCTGTTGTTCTGTAAGTAGCCATGTGTGTCTGCTATTCTGTGACAGAACGGAAGATGGCAGGATGTTGGGGGAGAGGTCAAGGCCCTGCTGTCAAGGACACAGTGAAGCAGAAGGGCCAAGGACCCGCTGGCAAATGGGAGGCCACGGGAGGGGTGCTATGCACCCTGGAGGCCAGTCTGAGGAAGGGGCTCAGCCACAAGCAGGTGCGTGGACAGCACTGGACGTGCAGCCCTGCCGTGTGAGATACGGAGGGTTAAGACGACGTGCTTCTCTCTCTGCGCCTCTAGGTTTTGACCTTTGTGAAGTGGGACAAGAGGAAGTGATCCTGAAAACAGGCAAGCAGGCCAACCGGCGGACCATGCACTTTGCACTCCAGTCCCTCCTGTCCCTCTTTGGTAAGTGGCCCGGGCAGGGCGGTGCTGTGAGGGGACCAGCAAGGAGAATGACAGCTAAGGACTGTCCACAAGCCCTGAGCAAAACCTCGTGCTCAGAGGAGACAGTGTGGGTGCTGCCTAGTAAACCCCACAAGAGGCAGATGAAGTGGGCAGGTGGGTCCCACGACAGGAGCTGCCCTGGGAGATGACAGGCGTCCCTGATGCCTGTGCCAACTCCGAGGGTGGTGGTCATGCCTCGAAGGCAGAACCCACAGGGTCTGCTGAGGAACAGGGCGAGGGCAGCTGGGAGAACAGAACTATTGTCGATCTGGGAGGCAGCAGCTAACCTGGGCAGGGGTTTAGACACGCTCAGCTTTGAAACATCCATTCCATTTGAGGGCTGCGTGAGGGGGGATGACAGGCACTCGGAGCAGGGGGTCAGAGGGGCCTGGGGTTCAGGGAGGGACAGTGCTGGAGCGGCTCTGCCCTGTGGAAGGGCTCTGCTTTTCCTGCAAGACCGTGCTGTATAAGCAGCACTTCCACAATTCCTAGTCAGCTTCCACGCGTAAGAGGATAATCTTGAAATCAAAACCGTGCAGATCCTAACAGGCCTTCGACTGCTTGTTTCTGTGCGTAGATTCCACGGAGCTGCCCAAGCGCCTCAGCCTGGACAGCTCGTCCTCCCTGGAGTCACTGGCGTCCGCGCAGTCAGTCTCCAACGCCCTGCCCCTGGGCTACCAGCACCCACCCTTCTCGCCCACGGGCGCGGACAGCCTGGCCTCGGACGCCATCTCCGTGTACAGCCTGAGCTCCATCGCCTCCTCCATGAGCTTCGTCTCCAAGCCGGAGGCCGGGCCAGAGGGCGGCGGGTCCAGGGGCCGGCAGGACTACAAGCTCACCTACCCCCAGAGAGCCACCCTGCCACGCCGCCAGGCGTCCCCGCAGGCCCGCAGCAAGGACGAGGAAGAAGACGAGGGCTTCTCCGTGGTCAGCACCGAGCCGCTGGTGGCCCGGCTCTCCCCGGAGCACCGCCTGCCCCGGGGAGGGACGGCCGGGGGCGCCCATGTGGTTGGCATCAAGGGAAGCAGCAGCACCCCACACTCCCCGGTCAAGATGTCACTGATCCCCAGCCCCAACTCCCCCTTCCAGAAGGTGGGCAAGCTAGCAAGTTCTGACACGGGCGAGTCGGACCAGTCCAGCACAGAGACGGACAGTACTGTCAAGTCCCAGGAGGACGGCAACCCGAAGCTGGACCCGCAGGAGCTGGCCCAGAAGATTCTCGAAGAGACACAGAGCCACCTCATGGCAGTGGAGCGTCTGCAGAGGGGTGGTGGTCAGGGCCCCGAGGAGGGGCTCCCCGTGCCCAGCACCACGGCCGTGTTCAGAGCCTCGGAGACGAGCGCCTTCAGCAGGCCAGTCCTGTCCCATCAGAAGAGCCAGCCATCCCCGGCCAAGCCACAGCCCCCGGCCAGGAGCTCATCCCTGCCCAAGGTGAACTCGGGGTACAGCAGCCCCACCACCTCAGAGACGTCCATCCGGGACAGCAGGAGCCCGCACAGTGGCCGGCCCTCGCCCGGCTCAGACTCGCAAACCTCCCTGACTGACCAGCCACTCTTTAAACTCAAGTACCCCAGCTCTGCGTACAGCGCCCACATCTCCAAGTCCCCCAGCTCAGGACACCAGTCTCCAGCAGGCAGTGCGCCGTCCCCTGCACTCTCCTATTCCTCGGCCAGCTCCGCGCGTTCGAGCCCAGCCGACGCCCCGGACATAGACAAGCTGAAGATGGCATCCATTGACGAGAAGGTGCAGGCCATCCACAACCTGAAGATGTTCTGGCAGAGCAGCCCCCAGCACCCCACAGGGCCCATGAAGATCCTCCGTGGGCCCCCCGGAACAATGACGTCCAAGAGGGATGTCCTCAGTTTGTTAAACCTGTCCCCTCGGCACAGCAAGAAGGAAGAAGGGGCGGACAAGCTGGAACTGATGGAGCTGTCGGCGCAGCCACGTGGGGATGCGCCCCCAAGACCCCCTCCCAACGGCCACCGGCACATGCAGACCACCAGGCTGAGCACCCTCCCACTGCCCACGGGCACCGCCGCGCCCCCTGCACGCCCACTGAGGCTCCCTTCTGGGAATGGCTACAAGTTCCTGTCCCCCGGGAGGTTCTTCCCTTCCTCCAAATGCTAAAAGTGTCTTTCTGACCCATTGACCCAAGGGCAGCAGCCCACAGAGAGAGGCTCCAAAGGGCCCGGGCTACCTGGGTGCACAAGTCACCCCCACGCTGAGTCACCCAGCCCCCACGCTGCCAAGCACACGGCCCCAGGGCCGGGCCTCTGGGCCTCGTTCGCTGAAAGCCAGGACTTCAGTGGGGCTCATGGAATCTTCCACACACTTCACCAAAACGTTTACCTTTCCAGCCTCCACACCTCATCTTGGTGCTTTTGTACACCACGGTCACAGTGTTGGGGTGGGGAAGAGGAAAGGGGGTCCCTATTTTGCTAAGAGGTGGACACACAGTACATTTTATACACAGAAATACAAACAGAGCTTTTTTCTTTTTAAACAGTTTCCAGGTGCTGGTTGGGGGTGGTATACATACAGTCTCGCCAATTTGAAAGTGTTATATTTGCCAAAAAAAAAAAAAAAAAAGGTTTTTTTAGAAAAAAAAATGCCAATGATTTGTAAAGAAATGGTTGCCATTTTGCCTGGTGACACTGGCCTGCCACAGTCACAATGCAATAATCAGGGAGCCAGCAAGTCCGGCCGGCTCCGCGTCAGCCCCCGACGGCCTTGGGCGGCGCCCACTGTCCACCAAACTTGAATTTTTTAAAGAACGTTCCTGTTCCTCGTACCCAGGCAGTTTTTTGGAACTATGCAATTGTGATTTCAAATGCAACTTTGTGCTTTTCAAACATTTCTTGGCCTTTTTTTTATACAGATAAAACAACTTGGTTTTCATATCAATAGGACTTTGCATCTATAGCCATTATTTTTAAAAGCTCAAACTTTTTTAAAAAAAAAGTCAAATTTTGCATAGACACCAATAAGCAATTCTATCAAGTTTGGGGAAAAGGTTGAAATTATTCCGTTTCTTGATGAGAGGGGGGGAAAAGAATTCACAGCAAACTAGGTTTAAGCAGAATCTAGCCTCTGGCTCCTATTCCTTGTTCCCAACCACTCAGTCTCCCCTTGGTCCCTAATTCAGGCCTCTAGCACCCCTTGTTCTCAGTCCAGTGCCTGGCTCAGACAAGTCCCCTTCCTACTACAGGGAACCTCCACACCTGTGTCCTGGGGTGCGGGGGCCATCTCCTGGGATGTCCCTCCAATCTGCAGGGCTGCCAAGACCCGCAAGCAATACTGTAGACAGCCTCTTCACCGTGTGTGTCACCAGCTGAGTCAAGACAAAGGAATCGTCTAGTTAGGGGGAACCATTAATTTATTTCAATAAAGACATGAAATGCTGAAAAATCAAGTTAGTGCTAAGGTCAGTTGGAGAACTGAAATAAGTATCTTTTAGGTAATTCTGAAATTCTGATTCGACCATCCTTACTGTGAAGGGATGTCCCACAAAGGTGGTGTGAGGGCTAGTGGGCAGGGGACTGTCCTCAGAGCAGTGAAGGGAGTGCTAGCCGTGGGTGGCTCTCTGACTTACACACACGAAGCACTTCTGTTCCTCAGTGCACCGATCTGTGTCTGCTGAGCAAGGTCACCCAGCAGCCACGCTGATGAAAATAAGGATGCCCACATGCAAGACAAGTCCTTTCAAGTGAGGCAGGAAGATGTCTTTACGTGAGTAGAGAAGAAGGGACATGGGGACAGAAGTGCCAGCGATGTAGCCCTGCTCACTTCCTTCAGGTGCGCCCCCCACAAGAGGAGTGAACCTTGGGGCACCGACTCTTGGTCTCTGTCCTCCTCCCGGTGACCATCCCAGGGGACACATCCCCTGGTGGTTTCAAGCCAGCGGGAAGATGCAGAGACTCAGAGCCCGCCTGAGTCCTAAGCACATTGTTGTTTGAGGTTTCTTACTTCACAGCCAAACTGGTAGATGTGAATTCATTTGATTTGGGGTTAGTTTGTTCTCGGTGGTCCTGGATGGAAGCTTCGATGCTGGGGAAGAGATGGTGACGGAGCAGGACGAGCTGAGGGCCCCTGCAGAGGCCCCCCAGGCTGCTGTCACGCCTGCCCAGGGCCCTTCCTGGCGCTCCTGCACGCATGTGGTACACGTAAAATCACAGAACCAAAGGGCGCTTGTCAGGCTGTGCTGAACAAGTACACACTTACAGTCACGTGAGGGTTTAGAGTTCACAATGATTTCTGGGGTCAGTGCTCCCTGGCCTGTGAGTTAAATTGGTTTTTACATAACCCCCAAACTAAGAATTATGAAGGGGCTTAAATAACCAGTTAAATGTAATTTGAATTTAAAAAGTAAAAGTGTCTTTAACTGGTTATTTAAGCCTCTGCTTAATCTCAAGTTTTGCTTCTTAGCCTGCAAAAGCTAAAATACTTAATAACTGGCCCTTAAAGAAAAGTGACTTGTCACTGGCATCGATGAAATAGAAGACAACTGGAGAACTCCTTTGTTTCTCTGGTCTAGAGGTGGCAAGGGTCACTGTGACCCACCGACCCTAAGGACTGCCCTGTGCGAGCCTGGGCCAGGAAGGCCTGCTCCGCACCACGTGGGGGAGAATGAAGGTGGGGAAATTTACAAAAATATTCACCACCTGCAGGCAGCAGTGAATACGCTTCTTTCTCAGCTCAGGAACTTGCTGTACCCCCACCCCCCACATGGGACCCCCTCCAATACAAACCCGCTGATGGCCCCTCAAAGCCTCAGCATGACCACTCTGCCAGGGAGTGGTCTCAATTCTTGCCAGAGAGACCCTTTTGTGGAGTCTTAACTCAGTCAAAACACCAGGGAAAACTACACTCCTAACACTTAGAATTTGATCCGTACACAATGTAGAAAGATGAAGCACTTCTCCCCACCCTTCCAGCTCTGACGGTACTCACTGGGCGCCAGCCACAGGCAAGGCTGCACCCCAACCCTGCAACTGTCCGGTGGGTCCATTACAGCAGGTCCCCAGAGCCGTCAGCATCCTCCTCATCCCCACCCTCAAAGAGAACCATCACTTTGTTTCACTTCAGGTTAGGAAAGAAAACACGTTCCACACTACAATCTGGTGTGCTTTCAGGAAGTCCGCCGGGAGGAACAACTGTGCTGTTCGCATCACAGACGTGTTTTGATCTAAATGACTGTGTGTGGTTTGTGTACCAGGCTCTGTCTGTGCCAGATGCTTCAAAGATGTTCCATGCAAGGACCTCGGGGTCCCCGCCCTCCTCGATGCCTTCCCCACGCGGCACCCGCCCCTCGTATGCAGTGTGAGCCATCGCTGGCCTACGTGGACTTCTTCTTTTTTTGTAAATTACAGTTTCCAGATGGCATTAAAACTTTTTATATTACAAAATTTACCATGTACAAAGAACTCCGTATTTTTATCAAGATTGCTGAGGCACTTGGCCTCCCTCCTTTGTGATTTCAGTGTCTATTAAAGCATGAGTTTCCTCGGTTTTCAGGGCTGCGTCATTGTGTCCCTTTCGACCCCCAGCCCACCCCCTCGGTACCCCTGCAGCACGGAGTGGCATGTCACTAGTGATGGAGCCCTCCGAGCACCGTCCACACACATCCAGCTGCAGACCGGTGACTCTGCAGGTGGGAGGCCCTCGGTCACCTGTACCACCACCCTGAACAGGTACACAGCGCACGCAGGACATGCAGCTGCCCACCAGCTCCTCATCCCTCTGCTCCCAGTGCCCACCCTTTATTATGCAGCACCTCAAGCCCACGTGGGGGCTGTCTCCCCCGTTGGCCCTTCTCAGTGGCTGCCTTCTGCTTCCCACCGTCATGGCCAAATTGTCATTGCATTGCCACCAGTCAGTTGGCTCTGCTGCATTGACCCTACACAGCAAGCCCCTCTGTGTCAGCAGGTGGTGCAGGACCTCAGGTGACAGCAGAACAAACAGCAGGAGGGCGAGGAGGTATCAGAAAAGACCTGAAATTGGAAAAAGATCCAATGGAAGCTCCTAGAAAGAAAATCTATACCCTCCTAAGACATAACTAGGGCGTTCTGGTGGTGTAGTCTGTAGTGAGCTGCGGGGCTAACCATGGCTGCCCCTCCCTGGTCGCTCCCAGGGAGAAAGATGGACAGTGTCCACCTGTCCAAATTCACAGTCTCTGAAAATCTGCTGGAGGGCCAGCTGTGAGTGGGTTCCCACTCGACAGCAATGGATTCGAGTTAAAATTTAGAACTAAGTGGCAGGTTGGAGAGCTGACTGACAAGGCCGACCAGAGGATCAGAGAGATGAAGTGACCGTGACTTCGGCACTGTGTGTGAGCACAGCAGAGACCATGAGGATAGACTGTGGGCCTGGGCAGGGCAGGGTCACTCTCTATGCATCAGTCAACGCCACAGTCCTCAACGACAACAAGAAGATCAGGATAATTAAAAATAGAAATGACAGAATCACCCAGAATTCACTGCCAGAGAGACAAAGACTGAGAAGAGGAGAGAGACAGCTTGTGGGTCACAGGAAAGAAAAGGAGGAGCCTCAACATCACAAAAGGCGCTCCAGAAACAGAAGTGTTGACGACTTCACTCAGTTTATGGAAAGATACAAATGAACAGATTCAAGGAGGACAAGGAATGTCAAATAGAAGAAATGAGATCGGGAGAGTGTGCAGTTAGGGACCTCTGCAAATTACTGAGGAGAAATGATGTTAGAGGACTAAGGTGCACCTGATGCATCTGAGAGCTGGACAGTGAATAAGGAGCACAGGAGAACTGATTGTGTTGGAGAGTGCTGAACATGCCATGGACTGCCCAAAGAACAGCCAGGTGCAGCCCGAGTGCTCCTTGGAAGAGGATGATGAGGCTTCATCTCACATACACGGCATGTTGCTAGGAGAGGCAGTTCCTTGGAGGGGGCCATCATGTTTGGAAAGCTGGAGGGACAGCAAAGGAGAGGAAGACCCTCAACCAGGTGGATTGACACAGCAACTGCAGCATTGAACTCAAGTAACTGTCAGATTGTGAGGATGGCACAGGATAGGACCGGGTTCAGATCTACTGTTCATAGGGTTGCTATGAGTGGTACTCAAATCATAAGGCAAAGAACAAATAACCCTTCCG